CATAACACATACACACACTTAAATACAGATACAAAGACAAACACACACCTCTACATATATATACACAAGTACACATACATCTACCCAAAGACACACATGTACATATATACCTGCACATATTCACACCCACACACCTATGCACGTGTGCACACACACATACCCACACATATATACGCATGCACGCACACACACACAGAGACATCCCTCACATACCCCACACATAAACATAGACTCACACACCTGTGTATTTATAGACATACATATACTCAAGCACATACACATGCATACACGCAGAGCCATACTCTCATTCCCCACACCCAACCACTCAACCCACAGATACAATCACAGGCGCACACACATACATATACACCCCCCCAACACACCTGTGCACATGCACACACATACATGTATACACACAGACACACCCCCAGACAGACAGACACACATGGCACAAGCCCTGGTTATATGCCCAGTTCTGATTCTTACTGTCCCTATGATTCTATCAATTATTGTCCCCTGTCTGTTCCTCAGGTTCCTCACTGCAAACTGCAAGTTTAGACTAAATCAGTGACCATCTGCTTATGTGTCCAGGAGCCTTGGGGCTGCCTCAGGGCAGAGGGAAAAGCCCACACCTCACCCCGGCTTCCACTGGAACATCTAAGCTTTCCTTTGTTTCCCCAGTTGCTATTCCACTTAATGATTGCATTTGCACGAAAGAGGCCATGACTTAAAAAGTTTGGAAACAAGCAGAGCATAGAGCTCCAGGAGAAAGGGTCAAGCTGGGGCAGGCGCGGCCAAGGGGTCTCAGCGAGCAGCAGTGGAGAGTGGTCAGCGCCCTGGCATTCCTGGTTTCTCACAGCACCGTCCCGGTTCACTCCTCTGTTCAGGCCAATGTGGCGGTTGCACGTCTGCATGAACAACACAACCTCTTTATAAATATATATTAAGATATTATATATTTTAGAATAGTTTTGCAGTTACAGAAAAATTGTGAAGATAGTAGAGAATTCAACATCATAAAATATTCTTCAGTCATTTCGACAACATGATTTTTAAAATGTTTGAGCTGTTAAAGATGTGGTTGTTTAAGGCACTTAACACCAGACAAAACATATTCTACTGTATATAAGGGGCAAATACCTTTCAAATATCTGAAAGAAATAGAGCTGGGTGTCCTCTATGTGACTCCAAGTGGGAATGGAAGACAAATGCCAAGATAAGCTCAGCCTGGAGGACTTTCTTATACCTGAGCCATCCTGGACTGGGACGTCAGCCTTCAGAGGCAGTGAAGTGTCTGTTCTCAGAGGCGTGTGGCAGTAGACAGGGTGACCACTTGGTGGGGATGTTACAGAGAGAATTCCCACTTTACATGGGAAGTTACTTCTTCAAATTCCTTTCTAATCTCAAGAGCCATTGATTTTAAGAAAGTATACATTTGAGGATTCTCAGATTTTTTTTTTTTTTTTTGCTGGCTGGCAGAAGGAAATAGTACATGGACCTGCTGGCATCATTAGCAAGAATGAGTTGATCCAGTTGGCTCTGTCCCCACAGAGAGCTGAGAGCAAGCTTGCCAAAAATGGGACACTGGCCAAGTGAGGATAACTTTAGGACAAAATGGTGGGGACAAGCGGGGATATAACTTTAGGACAAAATGAGGAAGTCCTCATTCAGAGGCAGAGCCACACTCAGCTGGATGAGGACCCTGGAGTCCTCAAAGGAGTGAGGACATTCACAGCTAGAAGGGGTTGGGTTAGATCTCACCTGAAAATCCTGCAATTCCCTGTGTTCCCCGATTGGTAAAAAGCCTTCCTTTCCAGCCCCCAACACCCCTAACTGGTCACTGCTCCTGTGGCAGTCCCCGCCCCCCCAGCGGCCCCGAAAGCTCTGCAAGGTCAGGAACCAGGTCCATATTATTCACTGTTGAATTCTCCTATGGCTGGTGCAAAACCAGTCGCCTAGAAAGCACTCAGAGACTTGCTCCTTCTTGTATTCATTTAACAAATATTAATTAAGTACCTGCATGTACCAGACGCTAGGCTAGGCATTTGGTGAATGGTAAAAGAGAAACAACAAGCAGATACGATCTTTGCCCCCATGAAGTTCATGGTCTAGTAGAGAAGACAGAAACATTTCTTAGAAGGAACAAATTAAATATTTACTTGTGAACTGAGCGAAGTGCGATGAAGAGAATGGGAAAGGGGGTGGTGGAAGATATTGAGATTGGGTGGTGAGGAGGTGACATTTAAGTGGACGTCTGAAGGATGACCAGGGGAAGAGCTGCATGATGCGCCCAGTGGAGAAATGGAAGGGGAGGAGGGGGCTAGCGAGGATCTCTCCTCCTGCCCACAGGAAAAGGACGAGGAGGCAGTGAGTGTTGCTAACTACGAGAAAAGTGGCACAAGGCAAGGATTACGTCATTCAGTAATCTAAACAACCCTGGAGCACAGGGCCCCACCCCCATTTTACAGAGGAAGAAACTGAAACTCAGGCAGGACGAGTAACTTGCCGATGCCCCCCAGCTAGTAAGCAGCAGAGCCGGGATTCCAACTCAGTTTAAATTTCACAAGACTTTAAAGCTCATGTTCTTAATATCATGCAGCCCTTCTCCATCGGGGTCAGGAAGCATCCTTACCTAGATTTGCACATTGCTGAGGGCAGATTTTGCCCTCACCTTGAGACCCCCCCGGGACTGAGCAGGTCTAGGACAGGGCTTCCAGCTGGGAAGTCACGTGGGCTGCCTCCAGGAGTCAGGAAACCCACACAGGTATGTTTGGGCCAGCCCAGATGGGGAAGCCACTGACAAAGTGCCAAAGGCCTCCAGCAAAGAGCTGTAACTAGTACTGTATCCCCACCTGGGAAGCCAGGTATCCTTGACTGGCGCTGACTCAACTGACTCCCAGCTGGTGAAAGGTGCCCTGTGCCTTGGCTGGCTGTATGTACAGCTGACAGGAGGGATGGGGTCTGTGGAGGAAGTGGCGTGCAGCCATAGAAAATCCAGATCCTCATTCTTGAGCTTCCTGGCCTGGGGCCAGCAGCCTCTCTCCCTGCCTCAGGTGTCCATGTGGCTGAGAGGCAGACAAGACTTGCCATCACCCCACGTAAGACCCTTAACCACTTTGTCATCCCACTCACAGTCCCCGGGCACAGTAGGTTCACAAGCATTGCTTCCCACCCTGTCTTTCTTGGGTCTGGTGATAGTCCTGAGCCCAGGTGGGCTCTGCCTGGCCTCCCTTTACAGCTGACTGGCCAATGCAGTGACTCGCCGTGGCTCACCAGAAGCCAGAAGCCAGTGTCCCCGACCCTGTCCAGAGCTCCGTCTATCTTCTTATCTGATATGCTGCTGGCACCCTCCTGCACAATTCCTGCCTCCTCTGCATTATCCACAATGCATGTGCCTCCCCTCCCTCACCCTCAGCTAACTTCAGCACATATTTTGGGACAAGTCTATATTCTACTGGACACTGTATTTTATACAACCTCCTCTTGTTCTTTATTCCTCTCCTGTTTAAAGACAAGAATCACCAGCATTTATGAGGCTCCTTCTGGAGTTCCCAGTAGGGTGTGCTAAGTGCTTTACCTTAGTACTACTATGATTATTATACAGCTTGAGAGGCGGAGGTCTAGGGAGATGAAGTTACCTGCCCAAGCCTAGTGAGTTAGTCTGCGATGGAGCTAAGATTGGATTTGAATACAGGTCTTCTGACCTCACAGTGAGAACTTTTCTTGTCTCTCCAGCATGCCAACGCCCAGCCTTTATCAGAATTCTGCATCTCTCCCAGCCAGGTGCCTGGCACACACAGGGCTCAGCTGCAAAGGGCTGGCTTTTCAGCTGGTAAGTCATAGATGTGGGTCTGATCCGCCACTCTTGGATAAGTAACTTATCCTCGCCCATCCTCAGTTTTCCTCTCTTTAAACTGGGCATAATAATATCCACTCATTTCAAAGGGCTCCAGTGAGGTGAAAGCAGGAAATAGCTAGCACACAACATGACAATTGTTTGTTATTTTGCCTAATGTAGGCAGCAGACGGGGTTCAGGGCATACAGCTCTGAGATAAGGCTGCTCAACTCCTTGGTGGTGTGATCTTGGGCATGTCTTTCAACCTCTCTGGTCCCGTTTCCTCACCTGTACAATTACTGCAATAATAAAATCTATTTCATAAGGCTGTTGTGTTCACAGAGAATGAACATACTGGCTGCTGTGTCCTAGTGCCTAGAACAGAGCCTGGCACAGTTCTCAATAAAGAGAATAAATGAATAAGTAGCTGAACACAGCCCCTGCTACAAATTAGTACAAGCAGATATTGGGTGCTATTGGTTATATTGCTGATGTTATTATCTCTGCCTGGCACCTCTCCCCCTGGCAAGACCAAAGCACTTTTCATCCTCCAAGGTCTCTTCCTGCGACTCCATACGTCTGCTCCATCCAACACTTCAGCCCGCCTGAGCAGGGAGATGCAGGCATCTTGCAGACACGAACCACATCAGTCACACCTTTCCTTCCAGAGTCTGTCCTCCAAACATCAGTGATTGCCTGGATTTACACACACACACACACTCCTGAGTCAGAAAAAGGACTCAACAGACAGACATGCCTCAGGCTTCTAAAGGAGAAAAGAGTATTTTCCTGCAAGCTAGAGGTTTTACTGTTCTCCGTTCAGTTTGAATTCTGTCAATTATTATCCAACTAGTCATCTCTTCAGAGGTGTAACTGTCACTTAAAAAAAAAAGCGTGTGTTTGTGGGTGAGTGTGTGTGCAGATGGAGGGAGTGGGGAGTGATCAAACGGGAGTGCCCTGGTATTTATATTAAAGTGCACACCAGTTTAAATTCCATGGGAGTTTGAGCCTGTGTGATTATGCATGCTTCACGCTCATTCGAAGGGTGCCGGGGCTTTCTCCCCCGCCTTCTTGCCTCTCCGTTCATATAAAAGGCCTCCAGCTAGCCTTTGCCCACTGAACTCACCAGCCCTGAGCACGTGAAGGTTCAGTGTCTTGCTGAAAATGAGCACTTTCTTCTCTGAGATGGTGTGGCTCTGCCTAGCTGTCACTGCGGTGCTGGGGGGGACAGTTCTTTGCAAATACAAGAAGAGCCCAGGGCAGGTGGGGAGTCTGGCGGTCTGCCTCGCTGGCCTCTGGGGAGTGGCTTGCCTGCTTAGCTGGTCCCTCTTCTGGGGCTTGCTCTTCCTCTCCTTGTCCTGTTTCCTTGTGCATACTTACTTCTCTGGCCAAGCGTTGTTACCTGTTGATGGGAAGGCAGTCCTGGTGACAGGTAAGCAGACGGCACTGTGATTCTCACTGAGGGCAGGATCTGACACTAGCTTTGCCTTAGGGGGACTTTTCCAAATTGGGCTTAAAAATAAAATACTTGGCATGGAGTAAGTGAAAGCACATACCCAGTGTGTTCTACTCCTCTGTTTTGGCTTACTTCTTCAGGAGGTGCACTTGAAGGGGCTGGTGGGAAGAGGAAAGGTGAAGGTGAAATGCACCTAAGCAATGATCTTGTTAATTTCCCAGAAGTAGATATTAATAAGCAAAATTGGTATTTCATGTGTTTCGTTGTACCCAGGTTTCTTTAGGCTTAAATGGAATTTTGTTTGAGATGAATATTTGGCCAGCTTCTAGACCTGGGCTTGTCTTCCTTAGATGTGCAAGAAGGCTTATAAAGACTTCTTATAGGGGGCCTTATAAGGAGCCTTATATAGGCTCCTGGATCTTGCTGTGTTCTTGAAACAGCAAAGGGATTCACCTGCACTGGAGACTCTGCAGTAGGACTGGCTGCTGCCGAGAACCTTGCGTCCTGTCCGAACCTTTTGTCTTCAAGCCTGTCATTAGATCACGAATGTTCCTTAATTGAGTCAAGCTAGCATTGTGTCCAAAATCTAGTTGCTCATTAATTGAGCTGCCAGCTTTTCCCTTCTTTTGTGTTCTTTTCTCACTTCAAGTGTGAGTCCAAATTAAATTCTTCTGCATTGTAAAACTGGTTTGTTTGGTTATGAAGTTGGAGTTTGGATAGGTCTTTAGTTAGGATTATTCAGCATTATTCTAAACCAGAAAGTCCTGCAGAGATAAGGACATCAACTGCAGAATCATTTGCCATTTACCGGGCGCTTATCACCCCCTGAATGCAACCTGCTGGGGTGAAGGAAAGTGTGGGGCGTGATTGGAAGAAAATCAAGCATTTTGATAATTCACTGAGAAACAGACTCTAAAGTGACTTTTTCTATTTTGCTTATTTCTTTAACCCATTAACAGAATTCTTTCTTGAAAAAAAATACAAGTTGGCACTTGGAGTTTCGAAGTGCTGCAGAAAGCAAGCTTCTTTAAATTAAAAAACAAACAACAAAAAAGGTTATAGGTAGAAAATTCAGTCAATGAACAGGATATTTACATGAATGTCTAGTATCACCTGGAATCATGCATCGAGGAGACTTGGTGGATTTTCCACTTTTTCACTAGAATTCTCAAGTGGCCTATGGGCTGGGTTAAAGCTGTAATACATTCCAATTGTTCTGTTCTGTGTACAGCAGCATGCACCCATGGACTTCAGAATAATTCCAGGTCAAATTTATCTTTGTGCTTTTCCATTTGCATAAAAGAAGACAGAATAATTAAGCATATTAAAAAATAATAGCAATGCCTTGGTTGACACTAATGGGACGTGATCTCCTGGAGGTCAAAATAGTCCTGGGAAATCAAATTCAGAGAGCAGCACTTCTAAGGCTAATAAGTGAGAGGACTAAACCTTAGGATACTCTTGGGAAAACCTCAGAGTAGCTGAGAAAACAACAGTTCAATCTTGCTTGTTTATTTTGCCAACACTCTTTATCCTCTCTGCTTTTAAAGATTTAGGCATGCGTTAATGCTTGCAAAATACACACCCAGCACCGTTTGCTCACATCAGCCATCGAAACGTCCTGACTGTATTTAGTGTCCAACAGGATGACTGAATCAGTTGGGCAACTTAAGCCCAGGGACTAATCCCTAAATGAAATGCTCAGCAATTAGGAAGTTTAGAATCTAAGAAGAGAACTACATACTTTTAAGGGTGACTGAAATGTTATTTTCAGGTTCTTTGCCATTTTCACAAGGAATGCCATAGGCTCAATAGTCTAGAGAAGATTTCAAGACCTTTGTACTAAATGGAGAAATTTAAAATGAATTTCTTTAGCTAGACCAGAACTCATCAAAAAATGAGAAGCCACCCTAAATTTGTAACATCCTTTTTTTCAAGTTGGCTGATGTGACAAATTGGCACGCATTTTGGTGGGGGTGGGGCAGAGTAAGTGTGGCAAACTCAGAAATATTCCTTTATTTGATAATTCAAGTCTTGGAAATTTCTCTAAAAGATATCATCTAAAATATGGCAAAAGAGTAGCAGCAAAACAAAATGGCATATTCAGCACAATCTTATTATTTAAAATAGTGAAATATCAAAAGCAACCAAAATAATTTTGATAATTACAAAATATAATTTACAATATGTCCTCTGGGTGATAATTTACAATATATCCTCTGGGTGTAACAATGTGTAGCTACCAGAAATGAGAAGGAAAACCGCCTGGGCTAAAGAACATCAAACACAGGAGTTCCCAGTGTTTGAACAGCCTCAACATGATTAGATACATAGACCTCTGGGCTGGGTGGAAGGAACTTGTAAATGGTTGTATTAGAGTACTGAAAATACTTTGTAAATAGAAGGAAATAGTTTGCACATGGTTGGATTAGTATATTTGGGTGTTTACCCCTCTGGGTTTCAGATTTCTCTAATGTCATTATATTACTTGTATAATAAAAACACTTAAAGAGAGATAAGATTAAACGGATTAAGTCCATTTTAGTTTCTATTTAATTATAGACCCAGGTGAAGGACAATTACAAAAACAGGGTTCAAAAAAGAACCTTTTTTTTCCTACTGGGTCAGCAGCTACTGTGTGCAGGACACACCTGGGGCCTTCACAGTCCAAGGGATAGACACAGCCACACCTAACCGTGGCTGTGAGATCAGGCACAGGAGGTAAGTACAGGAGAATTCCCAAAATGCCCTGGAGCCTGTGTGGGCATGGATCCTGTGTGTGGTGCTGAGGAAGCTTGCCAAAGGAGGGGCCTTATTAAGAATCAAAAAGCCGCTTTGCAGAGGAAAAGCGGAAGGTATTCCAGGCTACTGGGTTAAGTAGCTACCATGTGTACAACTAGCACTCAATAAAAGTTGTTGCATGAGATAATTTTTAATTGAAATATTCACAACTGTATACCATAGAGAATGGATCTGGGAGGGGAAGTAAGATCTGTTTTAAGTGAAGGTTTTTATTTTATGTTCCAAATAAAGGGTCCAAGGCGGATGGTGAGTTATTAAATAGTCCAGTAAAGGTTCCACAGCTGAATGCCCTTGGCATCATCTTGGGATTTGGGCTCCTTTGGATTTAACATTAGATTATTTAACTGGACAAACACTGACAGTAGACTAAGAGACTGAGGGAAATAACATCTCTGTGCTCAGAGCTTTACATGAATTTCATATTTGATTCTCACGTCCCTAATGCCCTACGTTGTTTTTGTGAACAAAACATTTTGGAACTATGTGTCCAAAATCACTGAGCTGCTAAGTAGCAGAGATCGAACTAAACCTAGATCAGAGTCATCTGCCACCAAAAGCCATTTTCTTAACCACTGTCATTAGCAGTGTTACAGCCATAGTTAGTATGAACCCACAAAAGTTCCAGGTTATAAAATGTGTCCACTCAAATCAGAAGGTAGATGTTGAAAATCTGTTATGTGTCCAAGAACTTGGCAATTGATTGGATGCAGGTGATACGGGGATAGGGATGTTTAAGGAGGGTGATGATTTGAGAGAGGTGCCATTTGGAAAGTTTGCTTTCAGAATTGAATTTGAGAGCAGTGAAGGGTGTTTCAAGCGGGATGTCACTGGTAGTTGGAAATAGAGAACTAGAACTTGGTTAGGTTTGGAGGTAGAGGCTGGAGAGGCTTGAGCACCAGTGATGGCTGATGCTGCAAACAATGAGTTAACTGAGGCATATGTTAAGGAGTCGGTACAGTCCTCAGTAAACCTAGTATCCAGTTTATCAGATTTTTTTTTATATGAGCACATATTCTTTTTTATCATGCAGTTTAAGCTGTACCTTAATTGTCTACAGGGAAGCATGAAAAGGTATTGTTAACCCAGTTGATTTTGTAAAAGTTCGCATGTGATTTTATTAGGCATTGTAGATGCGGTGTTTTGATCGAGGGATATTCTCATGGGGTGAAAGCGCAGGGACCGGGTCTCATACGACCATGTCCCCCTTCTCAGTCTCTGAGCAGGTTGGACCTAATACAATGTTAACGAGTGAACCAGCCAAGAGGGAACAAACCACGCTTGTGAGATGTCCTCCCCTTTTTGTAGCCATTGTTGTACACAATAAGATCATCCCAATCTGCCCCACTCTCTTAGGTACTGGTCTTTGCCGGTTATTTTTGCTGGAGTCATCTGTGTACAAAGGGCACAGCGACATGGCTGAGCTGTGGGAGGCCCCGTTGTCCTGCAGCAACTCAATTGCTGGCTTGCTCTGGACAAGGCTTTGTTGACTTGGTTCTAAGCGTGCTCCTCCTTACCCAGGATGTGGCACAAACTGAACACCCTCTGTTCCCCACCCGGCTGCTGAAACGCCCTCCTAATAACCAGGGCTTGCCTTCCATTCCTGCCCTGCCAACCACGTTTCCCTTCTGGACATGGCCTTTGCCTTCCCAGACACTGCATTTCGGGGCTTCTCCCCACTCCTCTGTCCCTTGACTCTAACAGGTTCTTCCTCCTGCTCTTCCCCCAAGGTAATCTCTATGACTTTGTCCTCGGCTCTCTTATTTTGCTACATTTTCCACCAGGAAGCAAAGTCTACCTGCTTCTGTGGTATCAGCTGTTTCCCTGGTGCAAGGACTGGCAAATCTGTGGTTCTGTGCACCTGACCTTCTTAGGACCTCCTGACTCGTGTTTCCAGGATTTTAGCCTGAAACTTTACACTCAGCATAGACTAAAACAAATGTATCATCTTCTCTCCTGATCCTTTTCCTTTTCTTAAATTCTCTGGTTCTCAGCCTTCCCCCGATTCTGCCCATGCCTCTTCTTTCTCCAGCTCCCATTCTCCATGTCAGCCACCGCTGAAGGTTCTTTTCCTCCCTTTTTGATACTTTCTTCATAGATCCACCTTCCTCTGCCTACTCTCCTAAATGCCAGCATTCCCCATGACTCCCCAATTCTCCGTACCCGCCTGCAGGCTC